ATACCTTCATCTGCTTGAACCTCTCCAACCGTAACGCCGACATGTCTGAGACTTTGGAGTGCACAATCTCTATGTCGTCCTCATCTTCCGGTGTGTCGTCCAGCAAATCCTCATCTGCTGCCAGCTGCTCAGGAGGCGGGCCCTCGTCGTCTGATACTTCTGGGTCGCTCACGACCTGCGCATGGGGGTCGCGTGGTTCGTCGGCAATGCTCATCTTGTCTATCCGCAACTTCCCGTCCCAGCCGTTGCTGTCGCGTGGCTTATGGTCGTCTATCTCTTCGTCGCGTGTTTCGTTCGCGTCGGTCGCCGCAGCGGGGTCGCGCTCGCTGTGCGGGGCAGGAGTTGGCTCAGTCATGGCGCGTGAGGGGAGAGCGTATGGGGAAGCGACGGAGATGGCTTGCTGGAACTGGGTGTAGGTATCAACAGCTAACTGTAATATCTAGGCAGCCGTGTGTGGTCTGGAAGTGATTGTTGGAGCGGCAGGTTACGTCGTTTGGAGCTAACCTCTGCCTAAGCAAGGGTCCAGCGGCATGACGATCGCCAGCCATCAGACACCAACGCTCCACCACCGCAATCAACGCAACTACAACATTCGTTCGATTTGTATAACTTTTAAGTTATCCAGCCTATCTGATCGCACATCTGATCCATAGTACGCATGTACTCTTCCAACCTGTCCACGATCCAACCAGAACGAACCGCACCTCCTGTTATCGCCGCCGGCTCCTCCATCTTTTCACACCTCGAAGCGGCAGTGGAATACTCTGAGCATTGTAATGTCGACGCTCGGCCTAAGCGCACTTCACTCGACACCAGACACCTAGAAGGGCGGTAGGAGAACTGCAGACAGCGCGTGTTCCTTTCGCATGCCGATTTGCAAGCTTCGAAAGAGCTGTGCACCTCCTCGCCCTTCAAAACATCGTTGCTGAAGGCCTTATCGACGGAATAACTGTCCCACTCCGATCTTTCCTTGCTCAGACTAGGGTATATATATCCCTTGAACACATCGGCATGCTTCAGAGGAGCGCTCCTTGGACGCCTACGATACCACTCTTGTTCAAATTCCCAGAGAGACCGGATCTCATTCTCTGGCATATGATGGTATGTAATCGCGGCATAGCACCACGGCTGTCTGTTGATCTTGGTAATGTTGTGGTCGAGCGTTGAAACGGGATCACCCTGGAAGTGAGGAAATGCCCACAGCAGTGATACTTGAGCATCCTTCAACGCTTTTCCAAGGACCATGTCTCCGGCCCATTGCTCAATCGTGTACTGGTTCAGGTCTTTCATATGAGATTTCCAATGACGGATCACCTTCCTCATTGCTGGTGCCGACAGAACAAACCCCGAGCCGCCGTGAGCAAAAAGCACGTCGCCAATATACATTTGCTTGCCGATATAATGCGAGGCCTCTGCATCGAACTGGGACAGATAGTCGAGCAGGTTGGTCCACATCAGGTACGTGTCAAGTTCAACGAAGACGAACCACTTTGCTTGCGGCATCTGGCGGAGAGCTTTATCTATCATCGGCAAGAACTTGAACTTGTCAAGTTTCCACCCCGGGTTGCTTAGCGACCCTGATGCGCCACTTCCATCGTGTGCGATACCGTCCATGGAGAGACCATCTCGGCCTTTGGTTTTTAGTTGGTGGTAAAGCGTAAAGTCTGGCACCGAGTCTTTTAGATCCTGGTCGAGCTCGTCGAAAACGTCATGAATATGATGTCCTCCAAATTCTTCTTCAAAGTCGGAATAGATGGCGTAGTTTGGAATGCATCGCAACACGGTAGTGAGATGGACCGGCAGCTTCTCGAGTACCTCGGTGGCACCTGTGCGAAGGACGACCAATACTTCTTTCGCGATCGGGTTCTGAGGACAGTACAGTGGAGTCTGATGCTGGCTGAATATACTGGCGCTGGGTGTCGATCTTCGATATGAGTGCATGAAGAAGCCACAGATGAGCAAGGCGGCAACAGCAGTTCGATATCTGCGTCGGAAGTTGCCCCAGGACCTACCTGCAGCCATTGTCATTCACTCAACGCAAGTACATTGGGGCTCGTTGGAAGGAACAAGCTCAGTCGACTTTATTGGGGGTTTGCCCCCTCAATCCGCAGCTCTGCGTGTCAGTATGAGCTTCCCGCCCGGCGCTTAGCGCTGATAATCCTTGTCAGCTTCTGGTCCTCCATTCCGATGTAATCAACCGCTGCGTCACACTCGAAAGCCAACCCACACGCATCTCCGGTGCCCTTCTCAAAGAAGGACAACTACGCTGGCGTTATTTCAACAGACAAGTAACCGCTGGCCTTCTTCCCCCGATACCATTCGATCTGAATGGCTTTCCAGACGAAAAGGAAGTAGCGAAATTGAGAGTGAGCAGTAAGTGGCACAGCAGAGACAGTGGCGTTTGGGCAGAATGGTGATTGGTGGGAACCGAGTAGGCGAAAGCAGACAAGGACCTGCATCATTATCGTCTTGCTTCAAACAGTGCATCTCAGCCAACCGCTCACCCGTTCCACGGGATTCAACAACTAAACTAAGAGGTATGCGCATTCAACCAGTGCGGCGTGGTGAAGGGCTCCCGCCTCCAGGCTCTCGGTGTAACCAAAGGCGTGTGTGCAGAGCACTCTTCCGCTAAGTGTGCCCTTGTTTCCGCTTTCATACCACCAACCCTTTTGCCATAGTATCAGATAACTATGTGGAGACCCATCGTCAGGCTGTGGGTCGTGAGCTCGACGTTACTCGCCTCTCATGTCTCGCCGAGACAGGAAGAAGAAGGAAGAATCTGGACAGAGCCTCAGGACTCAAGCGACGGCGGATTCATCTTCCCAGTAACGTACCCGATCGATTTCCGCGAAGGCTCCAGCATCAATATATCATGGTCGACCACGTACGAAAACATCAATTTATACTTCTACCAAAGAGGCAAGGTCGCGAATTCGGTGCAGCTCGCTGGTAAGGGCTCATGCTTCTTCATTATCACATGAAGTACTAATGAGACTTTAGTCAATCTAGCAAGTCAATGGTACCAATGGGAGGTACGCGCGGAAGAGACCAACCTGACCAACCCCTTCGTCTTTAGAGTCGTCAATGCCCAGGGCACCGACGAGGAGCAAAGAATAGATGGCTTTTGGAGTACTAGCTGGTACATCAAACGGACTGGTGTCGCAAGCGAATCGGAAGCATTTTCGTCTTCGTCTTCGTCCTTGTCGTTGTCGACTTCATCGGTCACGCTAGACCCGGTTTCTTCGCCACCAACAACATCGTCAACAAGTCCCTCGTCGACCACATCAGCAACAGATACCCTGGCAACAGTGGCCTCAGATGGAGCAAAAGACACGGAAGACAAGGGTATCGGGCAAAACACTATAATCGGACTGACGGTTGGGCTCGTGGTCGCGGGAATCCTCATCATTGTGGGAGTGGTGTTCTGCCTTCGAAAACGCCGGAAAGACAAGACTGCTTCAACTCCTGCGCCAGTCCCCGCCGTGTCTTACGTCGATAACGCCCCTGCTCAAAAGCAGTCTGGTTATCATGCAGCGCATGAGGTCTTTGCGCCGCCTTCCGAGTTGCAGGGCGCGCCACCGCTCTACGAGCTTCCTGGGCACAGATAAGAGGAAGAGAGGGACGGGTGCATTGAATCACAGGAATACAATTCGTAAGCTTCGCATCGCAACTTCTGGTGCGAAAGGTTAAAATGCCGCAGGTGATCTTATGATCCCTAGCCAAAACGTTTCGTCAATATGCTTTGCAAACTGCCCTCGCTTCTGTCCTGATTCCGCACGCTCTGTGGTGGCTTTGTTCACTCGGCAGCTATCGACGCGTTCGGTGTTGTCTCCAACACGCGCCCTGCCACCTGAAGCGAGTTCAATCAGCGGATCATACTATTGGACCACCGTCATGACCCGTCGAGACAGCCCCGAAGGCGTACTGTTGTGCGTATCGATAGGCTGCCAGGGCAACTAGCACGAGGCTGAGGTTACACTGCATGATCTTGACAGTTTGAAGCAGTACAAGATCGGCGCGTCATCAAGCCACCAATATCATTGGTGATTGACCTGCAATGATGCAATTGAAGCGATGTGGCTTGTATGTCAGGCCCTGTACATGGCGGCGCGTCAACAAAGGCGGATTCTACCAACCGAAGCTAACATCTGAAATGCTTTCCTCGTATGCAAAAGGTGGAAGCGAGCCCAAGGCTGAAGTAGATCGTACTGATATAATTCAGGGTGCTCTTTGCCGAGCACTTGTAGCAGAGCTTTACTTGTACCAAATGTGGTAACGCTGAGTCAACCGGTACTACCGAGCTCTACCGAGCTCCACTGAGGGCTTCATATTCGAGGCCAGTTAGAAGAGCTGTGAAATTCCCCGTCAAATCGAAAGAGCTAGCACTCTTGTAGATACCCTCACTTATACGGGTAGTGTTCCCGAGTGCTAGGTGGTACGAGGGGTTATCGGAGAACAGTCAAGAGCTTCCTATCGAGAATTAGTATACTGAGCTTCGTGCTGCAGCGACTCAGCATGAGTTAGCAGAATACTCCCTTTTTTATTATGAGGTGTTCAGCAAGACACCCGCGCCTGGAAGATTAATGCCGCTTATGAGGGGAGCAATTTCGCGTTGTAATTACCCTGAGGTTGTTAACAGATAGCGGTTCAAGTGTTATTGTTCAACAACTAATCTGCTTCAATCTCTGTCAGCTCGTAGAAGGTATTCAACGATTCGGCTACGTCATGCTGACTTTACCTGCTACCCCCATTGGAGCGCAGACGAGTCGAATCGTTGATTAGCCATCAGAAAACGCCACAGGATCCGACAGTGTCGGCTATTCAGGCGAGGCTGCACCTTGAATAAGCCTTATCATGAGGAGTTGACCGGTGCGGCATTTATCTATGCCGCGTCTAATCATGGATCTTTTACACCTACGCCCTTTGACAAGCCCTCCGTTTCCTCTTCACCCCAAAATCGAACGGGATCGGTCTAACACGCTACAAACAAAATTTCAAACATGGCGCTCGCCTTCGCTTCCGGATCTCTAAAGCTGGCAAACTGGGGGTTTGGTGTTGGCGACATTGCTGTCATCGCTGGTGCGGGAAGAAATGTAGGCAACTGGGTCATGGCCCAGACCCGAGACCGCAATTTGGTTGAGTTTTTGAGAGTCGACATCGATACTGTCATCACTAGGAAAGGTTTGATCGATGTGGTGGAGCTACACAAGCGCTGGGATTGCAAAATCACGCTCTTCCGAAACGGACTCCCCATGGCTGTGGAAAATCCTGCTGGAAGTCAAGTACCTGTTGTTGATAACATGGACAAGTTCACTTGGTTCATGACCTTGTTACTTGCAGCACTGGATGCAGCGATCGGGCCCTCATACGTCCACCAATTTGTCATCAACCTCTTATCGCGACTGTTCGAAAACAGCCCAGACGGCATGGAGTATTTGATGCGAGAGGCACCTCAACATATCCAGGGTTGGAGGTCAAGCGCTTGCGTTCGTGGCATCATTACCAGAACTGATCATCTGTGGAAGCAATTAGCCCAACAAGGCCAGCATTGGCCGGGTTGCATACCATCTGCCGAATCCGAAGAGATCATGCGTCTTCTGCTATGGCTCGCAACAGAGAAAAGCACGATTTTCACTACAGCCTCGACCGACGCTTTCTGCTTCGCGATGATATTACACGAGATCGGTATCGAACAAGTCGCAACAGTGGAGATGTTGACCTCCAGTAGCGATATCGACACCAACACCGACGAAAGCGTCATTTGTGTGGCTTTGGACACTAGATGGTCCTCAATAGCATCGAGGGGAGGCAAGACCGCTGAAGATGCACTCACGAAAAGAAATGGAATGACCATTCCGTTGGACAACATGGAAGAATGCATGTCTTTGTGGCCTAAGGGAAGAGATTTCGCGGCTCGATTACGCACACTCTTCTTGGACGGAATGGCTGCCGTCGATGAAGATGGCGTTATGATCAGTGCTCCTGCAAATATTCCAGACTGGAATTTCAGCTATCTCGTCTCCAAGAATAAACCCTCGCAAAGGTCAGCAAACCGCAGATTGGATACACTGGCATACCGAGTCATAGATGCTTTCCTTCCAGGGGTTTCTGGCAAAGTCTCGCAACACATCCAAAATCTACTCGGGAGTTGGGACTCGAACAAACGAGAGGATATGGAAAGGTACCTGACGAAAGAGACCGATATTCCGCAACTACACCTTCAGCTGTCGGCGCACGCCGAGCTGCAGTCTCTGCTGCTGGGTTATTACTACGCTTTACTCCAACCATTGGTCGATTGTACTAGACTCAGTGTACAAGAAGTCTACGGTGCTTGGGGCTACACAAGTGGTAGATTCCTGATCGCCATTGGGAGGCTGAATCGTCCAGCGTCGATACGTCGCCCCATCAGTGGTTTTCCCAATCAAGACGATAGAGAGATCTGTCGGCACTACCCACGAGAGGCCATTCTCTACCTAGTCGGGTTTCTGTTCGCGGGTTTGGAGCCAAATTCGAACACCGTCGCCAACGGAGCAACAAGTAGCACAGCGATTGCTAGCGCAACAAGCACGATAGGTATCATGTCGAAGATCTCCGTTCTGCCGAGGGTCATGCTGGGATCACAGCTCGAAAGAAAACACTCGGCGCAACTATGTCTACTGGACTGCGACACAAGTTTCATACCATGTAACACATCAGGTTGTGTACAAGAAGGCCTAAAGTCGTTCTTGCTCTTGAGCGATGTCGACGCGGAATCAGAAAGCAACTTCAATGGCGAAGAGCTCATTCGCAGACTCCATTCGGACAATGCGATTGACTTCACACCTCACATCGAACCGGACTGGGACAACGACGTTCAATGCAGTATGCTTGTATATCGACACCAAGGCCGCATTGTGTATTCACTGCCGTTCTCGAGCGTTTTAGCTGTTCTTACTCGTGATGAGAGTCTGCATCAATGCCCGATTGAATTCGATCAAGCCCAACGAGTGTCAGAGCCACAGACGACTCGCCACTTGCTAGAACAGTCGAAAAATTGGGCGACTTGGGCAGACGCTGAGCTACCAAGTCTCATCCCACCAGCTACTAGCATGGTGTTGGCAAGCCCCCGAGACTTTCACGGAAGCGCATTACTGTGGAACAGAGTATGCGATGGATCTGCAATTGTAGTGGCTTCGCTCATTGGCATGCCAAACGCTGTAATTTGCGTGTTGGCAATGTACCTTCAAAGGTCTCAGTATCTTGGGCTTGAAGATGTTGTCACAATCGTGTCTCATCCAGACGAGTTTGTAGAGGCGATACAGGCCGGAAAACAGTACTTCATCATCCTTTGAGCAGATGAGCGATCACTACTACCAGTCTCTCGAGTTTCCACCAACTTCCTACCCCTACTTCTTCAAGAAAGTCAAAGCAGCAACGACATACCCCTCCATGCCCACCGTCAAAGTCGGCTGCACAACCGGCGCGAAGAAGGGACTATGGTTCCCAGGAACATCCTCACTGAGCCTCCCCTCTTTCTCCGCCTTATCCCAAACCGCAGGATCCGTCCCTCCATACAGGAAAAAGCAACTCGGCTTGCCAATCGCAGTAGCGAGGATACCAAAGTCTTCCGAGCCCTGTAGACGCGCAATGTCCGATTGATACGAATGCTTTCCAGGCTGGAAGTGCGCTGAGAAAGACTGCTCAAGCGCGTTGGTAACGTCAGCGTCGTTGAAGAGCAAGGGGAACTGCGTTGTTGGTGTCAGAGTAGGAGTGTTTGGATTGTTGGATGCTTCGGCCTCGGCGGCGATGATACGTTTTACGCTAGCGAGGACGCGTTCGCGGGTTTGGGGTAGAGCTGCGCGGACGTCGATTTTCAGGTTGGCTTCCGAGGGGATGATGTTCTCGGCGTCGCCTGCGTGGAAGGCGGAGACTGTTACCACGGCGAAGTCTAGGGGGTCTACTTCTCGCGCGACGATGGATTGGAGACGCATTATTGTGGATGCGGCTTGTAGGATGGGGTCGATGCCGCGATGGGGTGTAGATGCGTGGGCTTGTCGACCTTCGATGCGAAGTCTACAGGGATTAGTTTGAATGAGGAGTCAAGAAGAAGGGCGGATTTACTGGAATCGATCAGCCGAGCTGGCGATTAAACCATGCTTCGTACCAATAACACCAGCTCTTTCTGGCATGACATGTGCACCCACCACGACATCCGGCTCTTTGACTTTGTTATACAGACCATCATCCACCATGTTCTGCGCGCCACCTGCTCTTTCTTCCGCTGGCTGGAACACCAAGATCAACTCCCCGCTCCAGGCCTCTTTACATTTGACCAGAGTTTCCGCCGCCGCAAGCAGCGCGGTAATATGCATATCATGGCCACAGGCATGCATTACGGGCTTCTCAACATCGTCCACATCCTTCATACGCGCTGTGCTGGCATAGTTCAGGCCTGTCTTCTCTTCCACGGGTAGCGCGTCAATGTCAGCACGTAAGAGAAGTGTCTTTCCGGGGCCATTGGAGAATGTGGCAGCGACGCCGTGGCCGCCGATGGAAGAATGAATTGTGAAAGCTTTGAAGGTCTCGAGATGTTTGACAATCGCTTCCGCTGTCTTGGCTTCCTGAAAGGACAGCTCCGGGTGCGTGTGGAACCACTTGTCTACGACTTCATTAGCGATGAAATCAATAGATTACAATGATCACTCACAGAGCTCTTCATATGAAGCCAAGTCTGGCTGATGTGCCTTGACAATCTCACTTATGGAAGGCATATTCTGCGTCAATGCTCTTACGGCGTTTACAAGAATGGGTGGCTGAATTGCAAATGATCTGTAGTCGGTCGCTGATATATACGTCCAGTCTTACGGTAGATAGCTCGGTAAACGACCTGCCTTTGTCGCGTTAGCATTTCCCGTCGTGATACCCATGCTGGATTAGTGTTGTTCTGACAAATGCGGTTCCCGACGGGGAAAGTCGAGGATGACGTATGAGCGTGCGTTGGGTTGTGGGGTAGCGTAGTTGATTCCGACGCCGATACCGCCGGCAGCAGCGCAAGACCATACGAGGCCGATAAGAGGAGCCGTGGGTTAAAAGTGCGTTTATTGATGTGAGTAAGCTGGAAAGTGATACGTTCGTTGATAATAATACAATGATGTGCACAACGCCACACGAAACCCTTCTTCTAAACCAAGAATGCGTACATTTCAAACTCCTCGCATGTGGCGACAATGACCGACGGCTGCGTCAAAAGGTGCGCGATTCGTCCATTCCAATATACAGCATGTGTAACAAGCTCGTAGAGGGAGGGAGGATTGGGCTTTGCCATTCTACGACTCTGCCATGTCCTTGTCGTGTTCTTCAAGCTGCCTCTCCAGACTTCCCATGAGGTCTGGTTCCGAAGTTGGTGCAGAAGGAGCAGCTGATTGAGGTTGCACAGGCTCAGCCTCAAGTTTGGGTTCGGCCTCAACTACAGGCTCAGGCTGGGGCTGGGGCTCCGGGACGACCACAGGCGCTGGTGCCGCGTCCACTTCCACTTCCACTTCCATTGATGGAGCTGGGACTGGAACCTCGCTTGGAGCCTCCTCGGGAACGATGGCTTCTGTGGTAGTAGTAGAAGTCGAGATCTGGTTCATGGAATTCTGGCGACTATGGGAGACGGCAGAAAGCGGCAGATCAGGTGAGCTTGACTGGTCACGTTTCGGCGTCTGCAGCGACGTGTCGATTGGAGCGGTTTCGATTGCGGTCCTCTCGATCGTTGCGGTATCTTGAGAGGGCTCGTTGGAAGCCGGCGGCGGATGGCTTGCTAGCGCGGTGCTCTCTGTCAATGTAGCGTCCGCAAAATTGGGGGCTTCGGTCGCTGGAGCACTGGGTGGGACTACAGAGGACGCCTGAGGGGTCGCTGGGTTGGAGGTATGCTCCATGTCTTGATCTTCATCTTCCGAGCCCTCCTCGCCAGACCCCTCTTCTTCCTCGCCACCGGCGTCTGCCATTGGCGTATCACCTCCATCTGACGGAGCTACCGATCCGTCCTCTTGTTTGACGCCTGGTACACCCAGCATGTCACCGCCGGCAGTTGATGCTGGCGTCCCTTGCTCTGCTCCTTCGACAAAGACGACCTTCTTCTTGCCTCTGCCTGGGCCCCCACGCTTGACCTTCTTCTTAGGAGGTGGCGGCCTCCGCCGAGGTGGCGTTTGTTGTAGGATGTCATTAGCTACGACGACACCTTCTGCATTCACAACACCGACTCCCTCGACGATTGTTCCCGGTGCCGCAGTAGCTGGCGCAACTTCAATTGCAGCATCTTCAGGCTGGACTTCGCCTTCTACAGCCTGTCCTTCTGGTACGAGTACCTTGTAAACAGCCACGTTGCCATCCGCATCAAGTTTCTTAACCTTAGTTTCCCGCAACGCAGGTTGCGCAACCTGACCATTGACGTATGGTGATGGGAGACCTTTCCTTCTCTTTGCGAGATACTCTGGTTCCGAAACTTCTAGATGCCGTGCAACTTTGACGTACTTCTTGATAGTGAAGCCGGTACGGATCTCTTTAGTCTC